ACTCAGCGAATCGACCAAAGAGGCGGCGCTGGCGGTGGAAAAGCGGACTTTAAATTTCTAAAATTTTAGGGAAAGCGCCCCTGAGCGCTTATTTGTAGACAATCTCTACGCGTCGGTTCTGGGCATGGCTTTCTTCATCCATGCCCAAAGCGACAGGTTTTTCTTTGCCAAAGCTGACGGCTTCCAGTTGCTCGTCTCCCACACCAAGAAGACTCAGTGCTTGGCGCACGGCATCGGCGCGTTTTTGTCCCAGGGCTAAGTTGTATTCGCGCCCACCACGGGCATCGGCATGGCCCTCTAAGGTGGCTTTACGTGTTTTGTCGGCTTTGAGGTAGGCCGCATTTTGCGCGACAACTGCTGTGTACTCCGGTTTAATGATATAGCTGTCGTAATCAAAGTAGACCAGGCGCTCTTCGTTTGAGCTGGGTTGTTTGACGCTACTGCTTCTGGCCTCTACCGGGGCTACACCACGCGAGGTGCTGCTACTGTCAGCATCTTGTCCGGTGGCGCTGCCATCAGCGGCAGCAGTTGATTTTTTGTTGTTTAAATCTACGGTTTTACATGCACTCAATAAGGACAGACAAAGTATGGCCAGGCCCGTTTGTCTAGACAAGCAAGCAAGTAGATGGCGGCGGGGAGTAGATGCGGGGGTGGACATAGGATAAATCCTCTCAGAAATATGTGGGTTCACGCATGATAAGGGCAAATTTTAGACACTTTTAGGTTTCTATCATGATGCGAGGCATTAACGTCCCCAACTGGGTTCGCGAATGTCACCGCGCCTGGTCATTAAGCGGGTTTTAACTGAACCGTCTAATGTGGTGTTCATCAACAGCTCTGCGCCTGCTTGCCTGGTGGCGTAGACGATTAAACGGCTGTTTCCTGCAAAACTGGGGCGCTCATCTTCCAGGGTTTGTGTGATGGCGCGGCTCTCGCCACTGGATAGGTCCATGACGCGTAGCTTGAAGCCACCCCCTTCGCGTGAAATATAGGCCATATGGCGGCCATCCGGGCTGATGGATGGAGAGATATTGTAACTGCCTGAGAAGGTGATGCGCTCGGCCGCGCCGCCCGCGGCGCTCATACGGTAGATTTGGGGGCCGCCGCCTCTGTCGCTGACAAAGTAGATAAAAGCGCCATCGGGGCTGTAGCTGGCTTCGGTGTTGATGGAAGTGGAGTGCGTGAGTTGTTGGGCTGCCCCCCCCGTGCGAGAAACGCGAAACAGTTGCGTGCCGCCTGCGCGGCTGAGGGAGACGACGAGCGATTGCCCATCCGGTGCCCAGGCCGGTGCGCTGTTGGAGCCTTTGAAGTTAGCTATCACACGGCGCTTGCCGTTTGCAACTTCATGAATGTAGACCACGGGTTTGCCGGTCTCAAAAGAGACGTAGGCCAGTTCATCCCCACGCGGTGACCAGGTTGGGGAGATAATGGGTTCGCGGCTGGTCAGGGCCACTTGTGCGCCATCGCCATCTGAATCGGTGATCCACAGCTGGTAGCTGCCTTTGGATTTGGTGATATAGGCCAAGCGGCTGGTGAATATGCCCTTTTGGCCGGTGAGTTTTTCATAAATCAAATCTGCCACGCGGTGCGCTGCTAAGCGTAAATCGCCTTGGGCCACACTCACGGTTTGTTGTAGCAAGGTGTTGCCACGCACCACATCCCAGAGGCTAAAATGCACGTCCCAGCCGCCACTGGTGCTGGGCGCTACGCTGCCTGCGGCCAGGGCATCGGCTATTTTTTGACGCCAGAGGGTAAAGTCGGGTTTGCTGTTTTCGTTCATGTTTATGCCGCTGGCATCCACACGGCGCAGTTGGCCGCTACGCTCTAAATCGGCCATGATGATTTGGCTCACGGCTACGCCAGTGCCTTCTTCATTGATAAAACTGGGTATGGCAATCGGAATTTGTGTATTGCCCACGCCATTGACATCCAGCCGAATGCTCTGGGCCCAAGCGTTGCCCGCATTGCCTAAGAGCCCGCCTAGTAAAGTGAATAAGAACAGAAAGGGGGTAATACGTTTAAACCCATGCCGATGCAGCCATTTCATCACACATTACCCTTTCAGCA